AGGCAGAGAGAGGCTCAAAGTGCCCAAAGGGATGCGAGGGTGCTCCAGGTCCTGCTCACAAGTCATGAGAGACCCCATTCAGGGCAGCTGGTTGCGGGAACGAAGTTAAACAGGACAGACACTCGCAAAAATTGTGGGTTGAGCTGAGTGGGTTGTGTTCCTGGGTGTGCAAACCAGGATCTTGCCATACACAGCATCCGGAGTGGATGTAATAGGGGAGGTCTCGTCTAGAAAGCGCCCAGGGCAGTGAGATGTGTTACAGGGAAGACAAGTATATTACAAGGAAAACTGAACAATGAGCAAATGCCTCTGTCACCCTGGTTTTGTTTCTAGAATCCTCATTTAAACCAGAATGCCTGGAATAACCTTGAAAAGTACAGCAGAAGCTTGGTAAAGCACAACAAGAATGTCTACGTCTGCACAGGACCCCTTTACCTGCCCAGGTAAACACGAGGGCCCGGCTTGGACTGTGCCCGAAAGGTGCGTTGTGCTGGGAAAGGAGAGCAGGCTGCGGGGGTGGAGCCTCCTGGTGGCTCCCAAATGGGAGTGATCTGCGAAGGCCCCGCTCAGGAGGTGAGACCAGCTGAGCACAGAGGTTGGGAAGTGGGAAGGCATTTTCTTAAGATTAGTCTGTATATTTCCCATTCAGTTATTTCATGGGTAAAGGTGGGTTTCTTGAGCTACAATGTCACCAAATTGCTGTGGTAGTGGTAGATTGCTAGATGATCAGAATAACAGATTAGACTGCAGACCCTTTCCCTGCAGAGTAAAGTTTCTAGGTTTTATTTTAGAGACTATTTCTCCACTTAAGAGCATGACTTTATCTGCAAAGGTCTTCCTGTAGCGCTAAAGAGCAGCTGTCCCATGTTGAGATCTCTTCAGCAGCAGGAAATCACTTGGAAAGGCTGTTAAAGGAAGACAGCAGGGAAGGGATTTGGGGGGAGCAGACCCAATACACAGCTTGGCCTCACCTTGCCATGTAGCCTCTGCTTCAGGGATGTTTTTACACCTCTGCTGCACAAGTGGGGCAGTTCCCTGCAACACTATGGGGTGGGGGCTCACTTGAGGGTGGTGGTGCAGGGCTAAGGGGGTGCATGTGTCACCAGACTAGGCGGTAACGGGATTTTTCTTGTTGGTGCAGGATGGAGGCCGACGGGAAGATGTATGTTAAGTACCAGGTGATTGGGAAGAACAATGTGGCTGTCCCCACCCATTTCTTCAAGGTACTCATCCTGGAAAAGGAGAGTGGGGAGATTGAGTTGCGTTCCTACGTGATGCCCAACAGTCCTGTGGATGAGAAAATCCCCCTGGAACGGTTCCTGGTTCCCATTGAGAGCATCGAGCGAGCCTCAGGGCTCCTCTTCGTTCCAAACATCCTGAAGAGGACAAGTAACTTGAAAGCTATCACAGCTGGAAACAAGCATTGAACCTCAACTCAACAAAGCCAGGTACCCCCTGGGAAGGGACTCCACAGTCACCGCAGAATTTCCCATTCCTTGTGCAATTTTGAGTGTGAGCAATACCAATCAAACCAATGCTTCTCTTCCCCTTGTTTTGCGACACGTGCACCTGCAGCAGGTGGCAAGGCCAGGTCCTGTAGAAGGCTCCCAGGCACGTGTCACCAACGTAGGTCTTTAGACTTTGCCCCTAATCTGCAGTATGGAGCGTATCCTGCAGTTGCTCCCTTTGAGTTGTGTGTGGCTTATTAAAACACACAGGGCAGTTACTTAATTGCTTCTATTTGGCAGGGAAGGATGGGAACAAGATGGGTGCAGGGGGAGGAGAGGAGAGCTGAGGTTCCTGCCTTTCTGTGGCCAAAGGGTTGTATGATTGTTTTCTTTCAGAAAATGGTTTTAGCAGTAAAGCTTTGAACACCCACAGTATTGGTTTTTTCTTATCTGCTCTTACCAAAGCTCTGAGTACCTCAGCAGGAGGGGGGAGGACAGGGCCAACTTTTCCAGCTGCTTTCCTGTTTGTGCTCACTGTAGGCATCATAAATGGAGCCAAGCTGTAACAAGCTATGCTCACATGCTTTAGAGCTGAGGCTCAGCTGAAGCTCCAGCCCTTCCTGCTGTTGGGAATGATGAAGCCTTTGAATTGAAGCAGGGAGGCCGGGGGAAATCAGGCTGAGACAGGAACAGCTACCTGGCATAAGGATGAAGTTTTGACTTCCTTTAAGTCTGAAAGGCCACATGGCTCCAGAGGCACTGCGTATTCTGGACACAGAGTGCGCATCACCAAGACACTCACACGTGGACTTGAAGGCAGCTGAGGTTCCATACTGCTTTATTCCCCAGCCCAGATGTCTGAATTGCTGAGACCCAGTCTTGTCCCAGCTGCTGAGAGGCAGCGACCAGCCCTTGACTGGACCATGCAGGCAGGAGAACGCAGATTTGCTGCTCCCAACAGCAGCCAGACCCTTGGTCGAGGAGCGCTGCCACCTTTAGTTGTGCTGTGTCTTGGCCCCACCAGGCTCTTGGAGCGATTTGCTGAGCACCCTGCGTTTGAACAGCTGCTTCCTCAAGGCAGTCCTCAGCTGGTGGCAAGGTCAGTGGTTTCCCTTCCCTCAGCTGTTGCTGGGTGTCTTCACAGCCTCGTCGATGTGGGGTCTCAGTGCAGACAGAGAGATCAGCAGTGCTTCCTGCAACAGACCCAGGGCACAGTCAGAACTGCACCAGGCAAGCCGGCCACTCTTTGCTGAGGTGTCACCGTGGTGAACGACACATGGGCCACGTCACTGCCACAGGCAGAACCTCTGCTCTGTCCACACAGGCGTCGTGCCCCACTGCACCACTGCCCTACCTCTGTCCGGATGGTTCTGCTGCCTTGACTGGGACAAGTGTTCAGGTAGAAGTCAAACAAGACGCTTGGGTCAGTGACCTCCAGGTTTGGGTCCACATCAAGCCCAGCTTCCAAGCCCTCCAGACCTCCGAACACGACAAGGGCGTGCCTAGGGGAGAGCACAGGGACACAGTGAGAGGGGAGACTGGCTCTTACTCCTGCACTAAAGCAGATACTACGGGCTTTGCAGAGGAGAGCTGCTCTTGTGCCTTGAACCTTCAAGTGGATTAAGAATTAGCTTTGCATAAACTGTTTTTAACTTGATCTGCAAGCAGCAGACTCCTTTCGTTTGTTCAGATCATCATGGAATCATAGACTGGCCTAGGCTGGAAGGGACCTTAGAGATCATCTAGTCCAACCTCCCTGTTATGGGCAGGGACGCCACCTCTCGACTAGACCAGGCAACACATGGGGATATCTGGGTCTGTGTTGAAGCTCCTCTGTGCCCACAGCAGCAGCTCCCTCCCTAACAAAGCCCCACAGCACTTGGCCAGTGCCACAGTCCCTGCTACCAACCCCAGACAAACAGGAAAGGAATTGGCCTTGTCCTCGGGTACTTCCCTCCGTTTCTGCAATGCAGAGGAATGGGCCTTGGTGTAAAAGGGAGCAGCAGAGCACAGGAGGGAGCCTGCGGCTGAGCCTTGCACTGGTATTTTCCTGCCTGGGAGAACGCTGAGGCCACAGTGCAGCTCTGGGGGTGGCCAAGCAGGGAGAACACAAACCTGAAGGAGGGCAGAGTGACCTGGTCCACAAGGCTGCCCCGTTCTGAGGTCCCAATGGAGAGATCGTAGCCTTCCTTGAAGGGGCACTCTGAGAAGACAGCACCTGGGAAACAATCGCAACATGGGGTTATTTCTGTGGTGCCCTTGCCCACACTATGTGCCTTCTGGACAGGCTGAAATGCTCCACAGGTGAGGGACAGCAGCAGAAGGAATCGCTTTTCAGTGCCACTAATGCATCAAAAGAATGATTCCTTTTTCCTATGTAATTTCCTTGCTACAGGAGTCTTCACACCCTTCTCAACTGCAGCACCTCTCCCTCTAAGAGATGCCAGGAGCCATTCCTTGACTATTGGCTTACAATTTTCCTAGGAATCAGAAGACAGGAAGAGGATTTTTCAGGGCTCTTGAGCTCAAATGTCACTGCTGGCTTTGATGTGAATGAGCAGGAGGTAGTTATCATGGAAATGGAGATGTACTGGGTGGAGATTGAGAGCACCACCTCTTCTCTCCTGCTACACTGTGGACATTGGGCGCAACGGTGAGTGCAGGTACAGGGCAGAGTGCTGGTAGGTGACCAGGGTGATCCATGCCCCTAGCCTTAGCCCTTAAATCTGATTGCCACGTGACTGCTGCTGCACATGTAAGCTGCCTTTGAGGCAAGAGAGGTTTTTAAGAAAGATGTTAATGTGTACCACAGATATGCAGCCAGGGGGCCTGAAATTGGTGGGGAAGCCCAGGCAGAGACATGGCAAAGAGCAGAGAACTGCAAATACTTACTCAGGCAAGAGGCAAGGCGGACGCTGTAACCCCAGTACAAGCCTGAGACTGTCCGCGGGTGGTGTGAGGAGACCACGGTGCCTTTCCGCACTTTAGCTTCTGAAAGCAAAGCAAAGAGAGTAACAAGGGTGTTACTGAAATTGTGTGTGGAGTGAAGGGAACACACAGAGCTGTTCAGATATCAGTAATCTGAAGGCTGTCCTATGGAAGGACTGACTCCCGTGCAACTGAAGTTTAGGGATGCTAACAGAGCAGCGCATTACCTGGCGTCTGGGGTTTCTCCAGGCGCACAGTGACTCGCAGACCAGGCTTCAGCTGTTTGTCGATCTGCACCTCCTGCAGTAACAGTCACCATCAGTGTCAGACAGTCTGGAAGTACTGGGGAAGGTGGGGAAGGAAGGGAACCCTCTGAGGAAGTGGGGGTCTGTTCTGGCCTGGATCTGGAATGAGGAGCTCTGTGATCAGGGCCTGTGTGGTGCAGAGCAGGCTCAGGGTGGCTGGGTCAGCAGCCTGAGACTGACTTTGCTGGTTCATCAACTCCAGCAATGAACCAGTAACGTACTGGAATAGCCAGGCCTGCCAGGAAGCTACAACCATTTTGCAACCAGAAGGGACAATATGAGGGACAGTATTAAACCCCATGCCAGACTGCTCCGGCCTTCAAAAATCCATCAGTATCTATCCTGCCCGTCTCAAATCTGCCAGCGAGACAGGGGAAATTGTTTTCAGATCTGTGGGTTAGACAGACGTACCTTCCTCATCCCACAGTTAACAAAGGAGCCTCTGCCTGGCTTAGTTGGCCGGTCCAACACTACACCTTCTCGGTACTCTGAATCCTCATCCACCCGCATGTGGTGGGGGCTGTCCAGGGGGTTGAGCAACCCTAGAACAACAGAGGAAAGTGGCTGCTGAGGAGAGAACACGGACTGCAGGCACACAGATCTAAGTACAGGCGCTCTGCTGCCCCCTCCTTCTGGTCCAGTGTAGCACAGCACCTCGTCTGAAGTGGGGAGGAGTGCCCCGATTCTGTGCATCCCATGCAAAACAATCAGAGCTCAGGAACAGGGAACCAGCGCTTGGGACAGAGACTGAATCACAACGGCTGAGTGATTACCTGCAAACTGCAGATCCTCATGTTTTGGAAAAAAGGATTTTCTCAAGTACCTGTTATCAGAGAAGGTTGAAATGTGAAAACAAGTTGTTTCTATGGAATCCAAGCCTCAATTTTAGCATTGTTCTGACTCAAAAGAACTGAGTACAGAGAAGCGTGTGCTTAGCTCCCTCACGTTCCCTGATCTACCTCTCATGTATCATGCAGATCGTATCCTGCATTCACTGCTCTTCTTCTAAACTCCTGAACCAGACATCTGAAACAATTAGATCCTGTGTTCCTGCATAATTATGTAGTATTAACAAAATTTGGGTCCTGTTCCCATAGCCTACTCACAGTAGTCAGTTCTGATGCACAGTCTGGCCACTTACTGAGGGCACTCCAGATACTGCAGGATCCGAGCCAGCTGCACGCAAGCCTTGCCTCTCTTCCCAATTCCTTCAAAGACCCCCTCCACAGTCCTGAAACAGAAAGCAAGCAGCTTGTGAACTTGGCAAGACCAAGCCTTACTCCTTAAGCTGAAAACAGCAGCACACCTCTCCCCTCCACCTCTTGTAAGAGGGCTGCTCCCGAGGTAGAGACTGTTAACAAATATTTGGAACTCTCTCTGCAAGTCAGTGTCTTTTTCTGTTTTGTTTTTGCTCTTTTGTATATTGACACAACCTGACAGTTGGATGCTGCTGAGCTGGATGCTGCAGGATTGCAGGGCAATTGGGTTAACTCGGAGGCAGGTCTAAGTGAAAAGCTGAAGGAATAGGAATTCATCTTCCATAAGGAAACAGGCATCACCTGTCCCTCCACAGCAAAATTTTACAGTATAGGAGGATTTTATAAGAGTTAGATTTGACTTTTTTTTCTCTGAGGTACAACTGATAGGGCTGAGACAAAGGTTGGACTCGATGATCTTGAAGGTCTCTTCCAACCGAAACTGTTCTATGATTCTATGACTTGACCTCCTGCTGCTTTGTCATCCCCA